GAAGGAAAAAAGGAAATTTGAGAAGCTCAATGGATTTCAAAGTAACAAGAAAGTGTTTTTTTAATGGAAGTGGATGCTTTCAGCCTCTCTGCAATTGCACAGGTGCAATACATGATCCAAATTCATCTGTGTAATTTTATGATATAGTTTAATGGTGGGTAGAGAAGATGAACTGCTGCTTTTGTATCTTTTGAATCATTGTTCCCAGTTTCCATAATTGATGGCTATTGCAGGCCATTGTTTTAAAATTAAAATAGTAATAGCATCACAGAATTTAGGCAAATCTGAATTATGGAATATAGTCATAATGTAATATATTAAGACCGTAGCCACAGTTTATTATTCTCAGGTACTTTAAGCTCTGGGTTCTGCTGGGGGTGAACTGGGGAGGCTGTACGCTTTGTAGATCTCCATCATCATCCATTACATGACTGCTTATCACTACTGATTTCTATCTGCACTGTTAGGTTTTGCTATGTAGCATTGGAAAAGTCTACCAATGCTCTTGTCCAAGAACTCATCAAACTTACTGCTGGTACAAATTCTCTGTTATCCCTTCTTACAAGCCCAAGGCAATGGAACTACATTTTACCTAAAAATTGAAGCATGAAACTCATTCTCTGCCCCCTGTTGTTCTTTTCATATTATTGTATCTATATCAGAAATTATATACTACAAGTTTTCCCTGCTGGTAGTCTTAAATGAATTTTCAGCTGATATGAACGAACTGAAAGTACCATATTTATTTGTCACTAACTGTGAGGATATCACATTTCAAAGTGTCTAATATTTTAATGTTTGCCAAATAACAAATATGTTATTTATTGAATATGATGTTTACATAAAAAACAGCAGTACTGACTAGCAAACAAGGGAAGGAGAAGCAACACATGCTCAAATTTTATGTTAAATTTTAAAAGGCTGTAGTATCCATATCCCCAATACTGCTTCAGGCAACCATTTTATCTCAACTAGATATGCTTTCATAAGCAAGAAGGAGGTCAAGCAGATGACATCTTTTAACATTCTAAAGATGTTCAAAATTAACATACAAATATGGATATTTTAGATTTTATAAAACATGGTGGTTCCTAGTGTTCAGCAAAAAGGAACAGGAATCCCTTGGAGATTCACCATAGAAAGGTTAGAAGTAGCATTCAGTGTTGACCCTCTTTTTAATCAAAGTGTATCCTATTCAAGTGGAACATCTAGAATATTGCACATCTTTACATAACATTGATCTGCAAGATAGTATTATAGTATTTTGTTACCTCTGGTAGAATAATCCATCATTTAAATTCTACAAGAATCTAGTTCACAAACTCATATTGTATGGTGGTTAATTTTATTCTGAGAGTCCAACATGAAAAAAAAATGGTTATGTTGATAAAATCACAGCATTTCACAAACTGAATGCAAACACCTTTCTCCCAGGCATAATATAAAGGCTAGCCCATGTATTCCCATTAAAGTTATTCCATAATATTATCTTTGCATAACACTAAAGCAGGAGTGTCAAACTGCTGGCCCGCGGGCCAGATGCATCATGCCAAAACCGCGCCCATTCCAGCTCCGGCAATGGGGAAAAACTTGCGACACGTCATGTGACATTACAAGTTTGACACCCCTGCGCTAAAGGGTCCTATGAGCTGAGTTTGAGTCCTGTTGATATAGACATTTCAGCATAGTTTTCTTGATAACAAGAAAATATAAATCTCTATGCATACTTTGAGAAGGACAAAAGCAAATAAAAATAGATATTGTTCCATATTTTGTACTTTAAATACTTTGATTTTACTATCTAATTTGTTATTTTGTATAATGTGTATTACCTAAAGAGTTTATATAACAGTTGCTTATGTAAGTTTTAATGATTGATTGAAAGGTAGTTGGTTTAAAAAAGCAGTAATTTTCTTATAATATCTGCCTTATAAACATGTCCAGTTTTCAATTATGTAGGCTAATTTAGCCACCCAGATTCTAAAGCATCACACACAGCAAAGTGAGAATCTTATTTGGACAACTGATAGATCTAAAGACCAATAGAAAGTTAAGCCAAATAATTTAAATATTAACATCTGCCACACTTATAAGAGGAAAACTTAGTTTTCTATGTCCTCTAAGCACTCAATTTATCAGTGACCCCATCAAAACCAAGCCAGGTCATAAGCAAAGAATCAACTCTAATTGGACTATACTGCTGCTGCCTGAAATAGATGATTAGTATCCTACTTACTAACAGATTCATTTCTGAACAGCTATTTTAATATTGCTAGTGTTATTAAGAATTAAACACCATCAGCATTACTGCAGCCTTTGTTGTTACTCCTATATGTATTTATAATGATCACTAGTCATCACCACATATACATATCAAGGTCAAACTGCATGGCAAATTGCAACCAGAGAGCTGACGAAGCTGATTCAGTCTGCATTCAATTCACAGTTGCATCAGATCTTGTGCCAAAATGCTAATAAAATTAAGCTATTTGGAGAAACCTTGTTTTGTACACACTGCCACTACTGTCATGAGTCTTGGAAAGCCCTCTTCCTGTCAACACAATCAAGGATGAAGTCCTGTTCCAAATGAACAAACTGCATTTTGTAAGCACCAAGCTCAAGAGCGTTAAGCATTTAAATATGCTGGAAAAGACTTGCGTCCCTTGCATATTGTAACTTGTATCCTTTTCAGTGAGGCAACTAATGATGCAGGTTTTGAAGTTTGGATTTTGTTTAGAAAATTATTTGGTCTGATGCAATAAAATAGTACTATGGAGTATTATCAAATGTACAAGCACTGTTCATAAATAAAGACAACATATTACCTTTGTATGGATTCATGCAACATATATTACAATTGAATTACACATCCAAAGCCTAAAATCAATGCCAGAATGCCAGAAGTGGCTTTACAGATACATAAATATTTATTTGAAAAGAGCATCATTGGAATATAAAAGAGGTCGAATACAGTTAGATTGTTCAACTTTTCTTGTTACGGGAACTTCCCTAAGTAACACTACCCACATATAGCATCTAATTTATCTTAATTCAATTATTAAGTATTTTGCCATTAAATATACAGATCAGTTAAGAAAGACCAAATGCCACAATGATTAGATGGAGATTCATATAATTTATCCAGAAGTTAAGCTTCTAGCCATACTCTCCTTTTGAACATTGTAAACTTTAAAATGTTTAGAACTTTCTAAGTCAAATAAAACATAACCTGATTTAACACAGAGATTTTCCAGACTTAAAACTCTTTTCAGAAACACTTCCCTATCATGAAAAGCAACTCCACCACTTCACTCAAAACTTCAGTCAAAATATTAGAAAATCTTTTCTGATGGCAGTTCTAGATCTGATTCTTTATCTTATTTCCATTCTTCTTGACCCATTTCCCTTCTCTTTCTCTCTTTATACCCTCCTTTGAAAATTTATTTGCAAATAAATCTAATACAGTTCAGTTTGTTATTTTCAGACATGTGTGCATAGAATCGCAGTTGGTACTTATAGACAGCAAGCCTAATCATATTTAGTTGAAAGTGTCACTAGGCTCAATGACAATTACATCTGAATAAATCTAATTAGGACTCAAACTACTAATTACTTTTCCTTTAAATTAAAGCCAAATTCCCTTAGCCTAAAAGAGAGCCAGTTTAGTGGTTAAGGTGTTGAATTAAGAGCAGGAGGACCAAGGTTGTAACCAAGTTCAGCCATAGAAATTCAGAGGTACCCTCTCTCAGCCCAACCTATCTCATAGTGCTGCGGTTGTGGGGATAAATAGGAGGGATCACTGCACATGCTCCCTTGAACTGCTGTACAAAAATGGGATATAAATATGCATTTCTCTTTGTTTTTATATGAAAACAAATTAGATTATAATCAACAAGGCCAAATTATATATGACTGTGGCAAACCCGAAACTTTAACATTGGTCTTTCCCACTCAAATGCAAAGCAGCAAGTAGAAAGGCAATTTAAGACACCAAGGAACAAGTTAGGAGAGAGAAAGTACAGCTGTCTTCAGTAGCAAGATCATACACTAAACTGATTTCCAGTGCTTCCACTACCAACACCACAGTTCAAACAGTGTTACTGGAAGGGGACGGGGCACAAATGCTGGAATAGAAATATGTGAGAGTAGCTTCAAGATACTCTCCTCATCTGTGCTCTGTCACACCATCCAAGCTTGCTGCTATACTTGCAATCTGCTCCTCAAAGGAGCATATCCTTCTTTGAAAGTACAAGACTGAGAGTCTAAGGTTTAGACATTTGTTTGTAGAATCAAAACTGGTACTCAAAATCCTACTTATTAATCTGACATATTAAGTAGAATTTTTACACAAAGCTTTAAGCACAGTGATGGAAGATATGTGGAATAAATCACATAGAAAACAATCAAACTAATAAAAATACCAAGCACTTCAACATCAAATATTCTGAACCCAATCAATGATGATTTTGAGAAAGTGTTTCTCCTTCTTTTATAGTTATCTCCGAAACCTATGGCTTCTAAAGTACTGTAATAGGCACATTCAGTTGTCCTGACAAAGATGAAGCTTGTGGCACCTCTAAAACTAACAGCCTGATCAAGATGTGTCAAAGAGCTAGAGTCCACACTATTAGCTGTACAAAGATATGCCAATGGTGAAATGTTGAAAAGAATTGAAAGCAAGGGATCCATGGACAAACACTACAATAACACCACATTGTTAAAATCATATAACAGCTGTTCTGGAGTTCTCTCTACCCTTATTAATCCTATATGCAGAATACAAATAACCTGAATTTATTAACTACCATACACTTTTGCACCTTCCCTCTGAAACAAGTATATTTTGCTGCCAAACTAATTTTATTAGGTCTTCACGAACAGTTTGCAAAGTACTTTTCTGCAGGAGTTGAGGCTGCTTTGAGAACTCAGTCATGAACTAAACCTGAGAAATGCATCCTGGCAAGGGAAGAAAAAAAAAAGGGGGGGGGTTCTTCCATTACCTGAATGAAGCCCCACATAGGATGGAGCATCCAGTGAAGCAGCAGAGGAGGCCAGCAGCACTGAAGGAAGAGCAAGACTTCTCGGATTAGCATCATGGGTCTAGAGGAAATGGGAGCTCCTTCTCACAATCTGAGTACCTGGAGAAAGAAATCGGATAGCAACAGTGCTTTGCTGAACCCAGTTCCCACCATACATGGTCCCTCTGCCCTCTTCCTTCCCCCTACATAACAAGTGTAAGTTGAAGAGGGAGTAAGTAGCCTGTTTTTCCATATAAAGTATTGGTCAAAGCACTCCTCTAACTTCATAGGTTTGGGGAGGATAAAATATAAAAAGAAACAGGATAAACACATATAGCTTTAGAGATACACTTCAGTCAAAATGACACTTCCCATTAGCTAGGCATATTTCATCTCTGGCAAGCGGTGCATTATTATAAATAAAACTATATACAGCGCCAACAGGACTTCCTTCCACCCCGCCCCGGTTTAGGGTAGTTGGCGAGAAACGAAATCCTCAAGGAATCAGAAGAGAGTTGGGGGACGCCAGCTATTCAACCAAGACGAAACCCAGATTTCGGTTTCTCCCGCGGCGGCAGCTGTTTAAACGTTCTTAAACTAATAAATGATATTTTAGAAAATTCCCTTACTCTGGAGGGCGGAATGGGCCCGCGTCGCGATAGGAGGCCGTTGCTGCGCTTTCTTTTACATAGTGGAGCAGAACTGCTGTCGGTGGAAGCGGAGGGAAAGGCAGCTTCAAAACAAAGTTTTGCGAGAAAACCTGATCTTTTCCACACGGCAGATCCGCCCGAAGTTCCCCTTTTGCTGCTGCTCCACCACCACCACCTAGCGCCGACACACTCCACTCGCGGAGAGGGAGGGGGAAACTCTTTTTCTCGGAAGAGAGGAGGGTCCCCCCCTCCACGAAACGCGTGGCTGTGATATTGATGGAGAGCCGCTCTTCTCGTACGTGTCCAACGACGAGGCGACGAGGGGGGGGGGAGCAGAAAAGCTGGAGGAATCCGAAGGTTCGACGGAAGGAGCCTCTAACCCCCGGTTCCTGGCGGCTGGAGGCAGGGCAACACACGAGATCCCAGTCCCAACGCCTCTAGATTCGCTGTTTTGTTTTGTTTTTCCTTCTCTTTGCAAGGACTTCCGAGAAATGGATATTCGGGGGGGGGAGAAAGGAGGGGGTATCACGGAAGGCGCCTCGTGAAAATCAACTCCTCCCCGACCGCGGAAAGAAAAGAGTGAAGAAGCGCTCCGGCTCTCTTTCCTCTCTTAAGTAGTGGGGATTGTTTGCTCCACTCTAGTAGCAGAGCTCGCCGTCTCGGATCCTCAGCTGTCCGTCATCCGGCAACGCCTGGAAGCAGCGGCCGGAGAGAGGGAGCTCACGGGATGAACTGGGGAGGAGGACTCCTCGGCTGGAGAGGAGCAGAGGCGCCGGCACATCGGGAGGGCGGGAGGGCGGAGGAGGGGTGGAAAGAGGCTGCGAGTGAAGCCGGAGGTTTCCCGTCTCCCCTGCCTGCGAATTTAATCACTCCCGTATCTGGTGCGCTGCCGCGTCTGCAGTGATTTTTCATAGCTATCGAGCAAGTCCGTTGTGGACTTGGCACTTGGCTCGGCTGAGCGTATCGCTTTTGACTTTGTGCGCGCATCTTGCTGTCGTCCGTGAATGAAAGCAAACCCCAAAGCTCAAAACTAAAACACCTCCGTGCTGCTGCTTAGAGAGCTCTCCAGGCACACGCACACGACCCACCCACTCCCCCTTTCCTTGCACGCTACTGGGGGCACTTCACAAGCTACTAGAGCCGGAGGCCAGGTGGCGCTCTCGAAGGAAAAGCTGCGCCTGGATGGTGGGTAGTTGGGTTCAGTACCGAAGAACGTATAACTCTCAGGATCTGGGATATAATCTTGCGCTTCAACTACCCTCTAATCCTAAACCAATCAACCAGCCAACTGTGGTCAAAACTAGTCGTTATTTATGGCTCTTCCAAAGTTGAAATAGGTTCCCCAATAGCCCTGACCTTCTAAAAATGGACAAACAATAACCAAATGCTATCCTATCCCTAAACATACTTAATTGCATCTTCCTGTGATGGTATACTGCACCTGTTCCTGGAGGTTCTGTTTAGCTGTTGGGGTAGTGTGATATTTTTTCTCTGTTTTTTTTTCGGGTTTTTTTTGCCATCACGCATTTACTACAGTAGTCGGGTTTGATAGGGAGAGAGGGGGTGCATTTGGGACAGTGAGACCAAAGAAAAGTCAGCTACGATTTTATAGAGAAGTATAGTCAGGCAACAGAAAAGGTGGCATAGACAGGCTATGAAATGCAGTTTCTCAAAGCTGTATTTATTATCCAACCTTTTCTCTTTCTGGAAAGAAGTCTGACTTTCTTTTCAATCAAGATTTTTGAGAAAATATTCCAGTAATAATTTCTATTATCGCTTTTTGATTACTTGCATTCTGTTTTAATCTGTTGCTACTTTAAATGGCCTAGAATAGAAATTAGAAATAATATATAATCTGTACACATAAAGAAAAACAGCTTCAACAGATGGAGCACCTGTCTGAGCTTGGGTAGCAGTCTAATGGGAGATTGGCCCTATAGACTAGCCAGGAAGTTTTAAAAAAACCAGGAAGAAGCTAATGGCAAACCACATCAATCCTCTTATCAAAACAGCAGCAGGGCCATGAAGTCACTAGAAGTCAGGCTTACCTTCATATTGCCTGAAATGGAGGATCTCTGAGCAACATGCAGTCAAATGGCTAATATGTCTGATTCCCAGCTGTGGATAAACCAAGACACTTTTACTGCCAAAAGCAAAACAAAATATAACACTCTTACCTTTCATGTGCAGAACCTGATCACATTGGCAGGTCTCTGACTTCCAGCACTGGCAATACAATGCCCTAATATCCTCCATGACACGTGGGTGCAGTAAGCTCTCATAGACAGCTCTATTTTCCTTCATTTACTCAATATTCTTTACTCTTCAACTTCAGTCTTGCTCTGTTCAGTGGCTGAGCTTTTCCTAACCAATTAATAAAAATAATATTACTATGGCTGATGTCCTCAATTATGCTAAATAAATGCCCCATCTCCTTACTTAAATTAAGGAGGATGCTTCTGATTGCCCCAATTCTTTCTACCACTCCTTACCCTCTTTTGCAGCTGTCCTCATTTCTATTAAATGCTTATTTTAGAGGGACATTACTTAAAGATTGCGAAGTAGCTGCTTGCCTGAGAATTATAGAAATTTACTGCTTTTCATACACCATGGATTGGTAGATTTAAACTACAGGCTGTCATTAGACAGTCTCTTCAACCCACTTAATATTACTGGTTGACAATGGAGATAAACAAATCACAAGGAGATAGGAGCAGTGGTATTCCTGACTCAGGTTGTACCAGCTTGCGAGAGCCACTTGTTCATTTTGGGGGAATTTTGTGAGTGACTGAAAGTGGAGCTAATGTGCTACCCCTAGTGCACCAATCATTATTCTATGGCATGTGTGTCAACAGTATGTCAACAATCGTGCTAATTTAACCAGTTCTTAAATAGTTACCAGCATACCACTGGATTGGAGGGTTGTGAGTAAGGAGGGTTACAGCTTGACCATCCTTGAATTAGATTCTGAATACAAGGGCAGTATACAGCAGATTCCCAGACTCTTTTAGGTGAGAGAATTGAGCCCAAACTGAAGCAGAAAAAAAAATTTCCTCTGGAGCACAAAGCAAGTTACATAAAGATTGCAAATATTTTGATTGTCGCATATGACTGTACTGGAAAATATTTCATTTCTGATGGAAATACAGTAAAATGGAGTCATTGAAGACCCCACCTTAATTACAAATCAACCCCAAAGCTTACTGTTCCTTTATTATCTCATTACAACATCTAAAAAGATCAAACATCTCAGAACTTTTATCTTTAAGAATTGAATTAGCACTTCATGGAAATAATTTCAAAAGCACAAGGACTTTTAATGACAATAAACTGTGATTTCCCCATAATATAATTTAGTTTTCCCCACTAGTTCCTTCCAGAAGCTTTGGACCATAGGTTCCATCTTCTCTGCAGCCAACCTGCAAGTTTCACACTGTAGGCCAGAAACCAAACACAGGCAGAACTCTGGGACATCGAAGGATAAGATGGTCTGTTGTGCGTTGGTGTGAACTATATGCTCACCTATTGCCTGACTTTCTGGAGAGGATAAAATGTAGCAAATCCTAGGCTCAGCTGTCTAAAAAACAACCTAATCCAAAATGTGCAACATGTTCCCCTTTCCTTCTTCCTAGGAATAGCCAAGGTGGGGGATGGGGATAATGACTCTCCTTGAGTGAAAAAAGAAGGCTTTCTTTGACATCTGAATAAAGGAGTAGCTTTAGACAGCTAATGGTGGTCATTATGAAACAGCAGCATTATTTTTGGTTGCCCAATTTATTATTGTCATTTGACTGTTTGGGATGGGGCAGATTGCTCCTCAGACCAGGTGGATTTGAAGAGAAGGGACCTTGGAGCAGTGAGCTCTTTGCTACTCTACTTCGGCAGCAGATTAGCCTGGCTTTACTCTCAGTTGGCTCAGCCAGAAAATAGTTCACTTGGCTGCCAACACCTAAAGAATGAACGAGCCAACAGTATCCTAATGAGACTTACATATTTCAGATGGCAGAGGGGCTATTTCTGGATCTAAAGAAGTAAAAACCATATGAAGTTGCTGAACACAATAAGACAAGAACAGCTATATATAAATACTGGGTACCCCCTAGATTGACAGTATCTGAAACTTTGGGTGTGACCTATGGGGTACTTGCCAAAGTTTTTTCTTGTTCCTAACTTTTTTCAGTATTCTGAAAAGATACTTTGTGATTGTCATCTCTGCTGCAGTTCTGTAATAATGAAAACACTGGGAGCCTTTAACAGAGCTTCTAAAAAAGCAAATAGAAATCTTCTGTTGTTCAAGTGTTACTACAGTCATACTCATTAGGAACATAGAAGCAAAGCAACTGGAGAAAATGAAAACAAGCTGAGTTTTTAGCCAACAAAATAATGAACAAAGACAATTGCCTTGTGTGAATGGGAACTAAGGTTATGCAAGTCATATTTATTTCATGGTGTATATACTAACAAATAATGAGTCACAGTTTTATATTATTTGTTCTGTATACATTAGGCATATGGACTTGAAAATAAGTCCTAGTATATTAATGGGATTTGATCTTTACAATCTGTGTAAGAATGCTGTGTCAGTCAAATAATCTCAAATTTAAAACTGCTTTGGTTTCCCAGAACTATCTGGCAGGCTAAATTCAGAAGGAATTTATAATCTTGATAATTCAAGTCAGCTTTCTTTAACATGGCACCTTCTGAATTGGAATTACAATACCATCCCAGTATATCTGGATTGGACTCTAAGGAATGTTGATAATAAAGAACCAGGTCTGACTCTGGTATGTGTTTGGGTGGTGGTGGTGAAATTATATTTTATATTATGAATGAATGTGATCAGGGGAAAAATGTGACTCTGTTAAGTGATAATGAATGGATGGAGGGAATAAGATGAGAGGATATAGAAAAAGTGATATTTGAAGCAACAAGATTGAATGAACATTCAAATTCTTTGGCGACCATCTGCTTTTAAAAAATCTATTTCAAATCCACAGGTTAAGCATACATCTATATATTGATTGATTTGATTATGGGTGATGAAAGATTGAGAGATGTAGTGTTTTAGTAGTGGATTTTGGAAAAAGACTTGGAAGAAAAATAGTGAAATAAATGAGAATAAAAGAATAACTTCAAGGAGGGAAAATATGAGCTGCATAAAATAGTATTAAACATAATTTCAAATAAAATGAATCAAAAATTATGTAGCAATGATATAAAAGATGTTTGTTATAATTAAAGGAATGTTATAAATGCCACAAAAATATGGATTTACATTAATGGGAAGTATGATGAAGAATCCTTGATATAATGATGTAATGGAATTGCTTGGGAATGTGAATACATGAGGGAATATGATCGGTGCAAAAGAATATGAAAGGATATTGTATAATATGTATACAGAGAAGAAGAATGTGGTCAGAAAGAGCAAGGACTGATAAAATTAAAAGTAGAAGAGAAAATCAGTACGATTCTTGATAGGAAGAAAAGAAGTGTTTTCAAAGTGGGAATACAGATCTAAACAAGGAACATCCTATGGAATGAATTCATTAACCATGAAGATAATGAAATAAAATTGGGATGAAACTGAAGTGTAAGAATACCAGATTAACCTAGTGGCACAGGAATGTGTGCATGTGTGCATGCGTGTTTGTGTGTGTATTTCAAAACAGGCAAGATACAGTCAGAATATCATGATCCCTTTTGTACATACTGTTTGTATGGTTCTA